TCCTGGTTTGAACTCTACACTTATGACTTTAAACAGCATCGCTTTGCCTTGAATAACAACTTCGTCTTTGCAATTAAGAAAATTTGGGAATCTGACTCATGCTGTATATAAGTCTTAATTACTCCTGCTCTTATGCTATCTTTTTCCTGTTGTTAACCTTCCGTTTTCTTCTGCAGAAATCTAGCAAAGTCAATTCAGAAATTATTGCGTGCATTTATTATTGCGAAAATTCAAGAATGGACAAAAATGCGAGTTTAATTATTGCGATTTTTTACGATTTTAAAAAAATCTACAAATTCATTAAAGATTCCTGTTTCATTTATCATAATTGAAGTTCTTATCATTGCGATACTCACCCAGTCGCATTATTTGCATTAATAAAAACCTCGCAATAATTTCTGAATTTACAGTATTATCGATGGTTGATTTTTCAAAGCGATCAATATGATCAATTATTTGTCCTTTGAAACTTTTACCTGACTTTTTATTTCTAACGTAGCGAAATAGTATGTCAAATTACGCTCAAATAAAATATTATGAATTGGCATCGATTAACAAAGTACACCTCCGAATTGCACTTACCATTGTGTACCTACATAATAATAAAAAAAAATTGTGAAAGTGTCCATGGGACACAGATGATGCCCCAGCTTGCATATAACGTTATAAAGGGACATATCTCAAGAACTGTAAAAGTGACGCTACCCAAATTTGTACTTGATCTGAGTTTTGTGGTATTAAGCATCGTTTATAAGTTTCATAACATTTAGTTGAGGCAAACTTAAGTTAGGCCACGCCAAATTAATACCTCGTTCGTCGGATTCCCCGCGTGTTGTGAAAGGTCGACGAGAAAAAAGTACTTTTTTTAAAAACCCGCGTCCATAACGGAGCCGCGCGCGTCCGTCTCTTAATTTATGTAACAAAAATTTTGATCAGTTGTGCGTTTGAAATTAACGCCTTACAAACACGGAAATTAACATCCAAAACGATCTAGATCTAACGTTTGTTATGGCCAAATATGATATGATATATATTCTAAACATACGACATGAGTGGAATATTTATACTAACAGTGGAAACGCAGGAAAAGACCTTACTGCCAAACACAGCAGTGGAATGTGATTCGGACAATTCTTTTACCGATTTGTTTGAAGTGCGCCTTGCACAGCCACCGAATTGAAAGACTCACATTATGACAATATAACATGCATAAGAATGAAAGAAAATCCCGAAAAGGTGTAACATACATACAAGGGCACGTAATGAAACTATTATATTTTTTACTTTTGTTTATCTTTTAGAATAAAGGGTTTTTTCCTTGAATCTTTCATTTGTATTTGCTAGTATCGTTACAAAGTTATAAAGCATAGAATTTGACAAGAAAGTTTTGGTGGTAATTGAATATAATGCAGCAATCAAACTTTACAATTTACCAAATCTTCTAAAAATAAGAATTTGTATGATTGTTAATGAGACAAACTTTCCAGAACCACTAGGAGTAGGTCAATGATATCTAATATGCAGCTGTATAAGCATTGGCATATCTCATTTCCATGGAGGTTATTTGACCCCATCCCCTCATTCATGGTCTTTTGACTTTGAAACTTTTGCTTAATTTACATGTAATAGTTTCTGATTAGGTCAGTTTAAGGGGAATCACTAGTGATAGGTCAATCATATTTAGTATGCAGTTGTATTAGAATTGTCACATCTCATTTCCAAGGGGATTATTTGGCCCTTGCCTCTCAATGATGGTCTATTGACTTTAAAACTTTTGCTTATTTTACATGTATTAGTTTGTGATTAGGTTAAATTATGTGGAAGCCCTAGTGGTATGTCAATGATATTTGGTATGCAGTTGTGTTAATATTGGCACATCTCATTTCCATGGAGATTATATGGGCCTACCTCCATTGTCATGGTATATTGACTCTGAAACTTTTCCTTAGTTGACAAATACAAGGAACATTTTTTTCGACCCTTTTTCGAATGAAACCGGATGTGACGTACTATAATTTGGTGGTATTACACCCAGAATTGAATGTACTGAATTGTTCCTCTTGTTTAGTTAATATATATATATCATTGTGGTTACTGAAAGACAACCCTTTATAAATACACAAATATGTATAGTTGTACAAATATATATAAAAGATTTATACATGCATATATGCTTTGCATACGTTTCTTTGAAACAGCATACCATTCTATCTGTGCTTGTCTCAAGTCAGGAGCCTGTACACAGTTCACTGGTTGTCGTTGGTTCATGCCTGTCAAATTTGTTTTTCGTAAATTGTTTTGTTTTGAATTAGGTCGTTAATTTTGTCAATTGATTCGTTTATTTTTTGTCATGTCAGGGCCTTTTATAGCCGAATAAACAGTATGGGTTGAAGGCTGAACGGTTGCATATAATTCCATACATCCACTTCATTTGAACATTGGTGGATAGTTGTCTCATTGGCAATCATACCACATCTGCGTATTTTTACAAAACATCAATTATAACTTACATCAAACATGGATGTCTGCCTGCTCAAAGCTGTGGTACCTTTTCATGTTCATCGGGATCTTTATTTAAGCAGACTACACAAAGTTGTAGGTTTTGCTATTAGTTTACCTTTTTTGTACTAGTAATGTTGTGAAAATTTCAACAGGGTGTTGGGAAAACAAATTGAGAAGCAAAGTAGGGTAATATAAGAACTAGGATATGAGATAAATAAAAACATGAAGCACTAAAACTGTGTAAATGTCTGATCGCTCGCTTGCATAAAGTGCAGTTCTTAGATTTTATTTTTGTAATATTTCAAAAATAATATCGCTCGCTAGTAAAAAATTCTTTCGCCTGCAAAAAATCAAATTTCCGAAAAAAAAACCAATAAAAAAATTTCGCTCGCTCGCTACCCTTTTTCAAGGAAATAGTCCGAAGAACTAGAAAATAATTTGGTGCGGCCTAAGAGAACGGAAACGAAAAATTCAGCAATTTTTCCATTTGTAAAGGGGAATAACTCTAGAACGGTAAAAGTGACGCAAACAAAATTCAAACTTGATCTGTGTTTTGTGGTACTAATAAAAAGTGTACAAGTTTCATAACATTTGGTTGTGGCAAACTAAAGTTAGAGAACGGAAACGGAAAATTCAGCATTTTTTCCATTTGTAAGGGGGCATAACTCTAGAACGGTAAAAGTGACGCCACAAAAAAATGGAACTTGACCTGTGTTTTGTGGTAATTAGCATTGTGCATAAGTTTCATTACATTTGGTTGAGGCAAACAAAAGTTAGAGAACAGAAACGAATATTTCAGCAATTTTTCCATTTGTAAAGGGGCATAACTCTAGAACGGTAAAAGTGACACCACCAAAATTCCAACTTGATCTGTGTTTTGTGGGAATTAGCATTGTGTATAAGTTTCAAAACATTTGGTTGAGGCAAACTAAAGTTAGAGAACGGAAACCAATTGTGGGACGTACGGACGGACGTACGGACGTACAGACGGCAAGGGTAAAACTAAATGCCCCCTCCACTACGGCGGGGGCATAAAAAAATACAAACTTGCATTATAAATCAAAATAATGTAGATTTTCTTTGACTTTATAAAACTTATTTTTCGATGTCAATCAATAGAAGAGAGTCTTAATTAAGAAGAGGGTGATTTTTCTGTATTAGGGACTGGTAATTTTCTTCCATTTGGGGGACCCGGGAGGAAACATTGGACTTTTTCTTAATTTTTTCATGTTCCTATCTTGATGAAGGAACATAAATTCAAGACCCGCTTCCAAAAACATGAAAATGTTAGCCACCCCCCTTCCCGTCTCACCCAAATTTCTCAGTACTTCTATTCGTTATAACATAAAAGACATGCGATTAATTTCTATTTCCACTATCAGTATGCAATAAAATTTAACATCAGTAGTTTTCCTATCCTTTATCTAAGTTATGATAAAAATCCTTTCCTGGGAGTACTTGTTAAAAATTGGGATATGGATCTTAAAAATTGAGCCGAGCGGAGCGAGCCGAAAAAAATAATCTCTTTCGTGCAAAAAAATTGTTTTTCCTTTTCTAAGGGGAACCTTCGGTGAAGATCGCCTGGATTCGCATCTCCATGTCATAAAGGAAAAATATTCACGTAAAGACATGTTAAAAATGCCATTTTAAATCATTGAAAAATATGCTCAATCATGAGTTTAAAGATTAATCATGTGAGAAACACCTTTTAGTATTAGCATTATATGGAAAGGGGTATACGGTAATGTCAGAAACATTTCAAGAAAATCATGCAAAAACTGAGACATCAAACCTTCAGTCCCTGGAATTTTTGCTATTGACATGTCCAAGAAACAAACAAAAGTTGAGCATGACTGACACGAAATGAATCTGAAACCAAAAATAAGGACACAAGAGATAGATATGTATGATATCTGAAGTAACTGTTATAGATACTTCAGCTGCATAATCAAATACTGATTTCATGTATTCATAAAATATTAGCAAATATATTTTTTGCATATTTTAATACACAATTGCTTAAATCTTATAAACAAATTTCCGATGACCCACCATCTGAAGCTTTGGAAAATTTGATATTTCCCTTTCCATTACAAAAATTTTCAAGGCTTGCCTAAATTTCCTCCAAGCCGCCTTTTCGGGTTAAAAAGTCCGATCCCTTAAATGTTGACCATTATTCTCTATTGTTCATATTTTGGTACCTTATTTTCTGTATTCCTTTTAGTTTTTTCGTAAATATCAGACATATCTCTATTTATAAACCTCATCCAGGCCTTCGTGTAATGAATAATTGATTGATGCGTAGTTCTCATAACATCTCACTCAGTCAGAATACATTCAACATTTCAAATCAAAAATTAAAATTTTTTAAATATTCTGCCTTTATGTTAGCCTTATTGAACATGATAAAAAAATTACATATTTTTGATAATGACAAATTGAAAAGGTTTTATTTACCTGTTTATCACCATGATCACGTGGTTCAACTTTTTCAACAATTTGAAAATACTTCCTGGTACAAACTACCAAAACTTTAGCGGGTTTGAAGTACTCTCATTGGCAGTTATGGTAGGTAAATGCTTGAAAGCTTTGTGATAAACCTCAACATTTTATATACAAAACACGTTTGTTTGATCGCATCCAGGTAAAACGTACAGCAAAGAAGTTGTGAAAGGTATAAAAGCCACATTCACCTGTTCACTTCACATCTGACACATAGGTAACGTTTTTTACATAGATTTTCAAAATGTTCTTGTAACTTGTAACAGAGTGCAATTCTTTGATATTTCCATCTTGCGTTTTTTATCAATGAAAAATCTCATTTAAATAACCTGTTTGTTAGTAGATTGCCTTTTCTGATAAAGAAAATTAGGGAGTTTCCAAAGCTTCAGCTCTAGATGGAGGGGCATCGGAATTTTTTTCGTAAGATTTAACAATTCTGTTTTCAAACATGCAAAAACTAAACCATTAACTTAAAGGTCAAAATATAGTGGTAAAATTCCTCCGATCCTTGTGGGAATGAAAACTTCAACCTCAGACACTCGCAGCGAGGTGAGGGGTAATATTTTGTGTACTTCTCTGAACCAAAGCAAAGACAGACATCATGATTGAAATTACACATTTCGCTTCAATCAACTAATCAGTCATTTTTATTTTACAGAAGATAGAAATTTATGGACTGACTGGGGTTTAACGACCTCTCCCTTTGCATCACATGCAATCATTCCGAGTTTGATCAATATAAAAAAGAAGATTAGTATGATTGCCAATGAGACAACTATCCACAAGAGACCAAATGACACAGAAATTAACAACTATAGGTCGCCGAATGGCCTTCAACAATGAGCAAAGCCCATACCGCATAGTCAGCTGTAAAAGGCCCCGAAATAACAAATGTTAAACAATTCAAACGAGAAAATTAACGGGCTAATTAATGTAGGTTTTAAGTCGAAATAATAAACATGTATATGTGTATCATCACAAAACATTATTACATATATAAGCCTTTTTCAGAATCGTAGATGCAAAATTAATTGTTATAAAAACCTCACGCACTACATTGTTTCAAAACAAAATCACGATTTTAGCTTCAAAGGACACACAGTATTTCATACGCGCAGAACCAAGATTAAAGTTCATTTGATCAGATCTCAATCGTATCCCTTTTGGTCAATTTATGTGTTCATCAAGATCTAAAACAATTTGCACATATCTATGTTACACAACTTTTTGACAAACATTCAACTCAACTCTATTATTTGTACTATATCACCAGAGACAAGTCATTGTTATTAGTAGGAACATATGTTACTGACATTGTCAACATTTTACTTAGGCCTTAAAAACTAATACCCTTGTTTCCGCTAATGTGTTGATAGGTAGGTAGGTAGGCAATGACTTTATTTTTCCAAACGTTTGTGCCTGGTGTAAACAGGTTAAACAGTCCGACATTAAAAGTGCGTTGCAAAATGGACAAAAAAAATTCAGGGGTTGTTTAATCATGGGTACTGAACGGCAAAAAAGGCTCACAAATACATTATTAGCGTCCGGCAAAAAAAAATCATTTTGTTATTCTGTTCATAAATAAATCTATGGATAATTGTCCATGTGTAGCATATATAAGTGATAACATATAGCATCAAATTTGAATGAAAGAATCGAATTAAAATTCATCAACAACGGTAGGACGCAGCTGATGCAACGTGTAAGCGGAAAAGCAGGTACTTTTTTAACCCTTATTAAAGGCAGCGATACATATAACGTTTAATGAAAATGGTATACTCGTAAGACTTGTCATGCATTTTTGCTGGGCGTATTATTCGTTCATTTGATCATGTACGGTGCAAAGTTATTTGTTTCAGATTATACCAGAATAAACAAATGGTAATCCCCTAAGGAACCAAAAACAACGTTTTTTGGCATTCATTTAGAGTTTCATTTTTACAGGTTAATTCCAAGTTATAAAATAGCCACGTGTAGGTTTTCATCCAGATATCCATCCACAATTCCTTCGTGATACCATTGTAAAATTGAGAATGGAAATGGGGAATGTGTCAAAGAGACAACAACCCGACCATAGAGTAGACAACAGCCGAAGGCCACCAATGGGTCTTCAATGCAGCGAGAAACTCCCGCACCCGGAGGCGTTCTTCAGCTGGCCCCTAAACAAATATGTATACTAGTTCAGTGATAATGGACGTCATACTAAAGTCCAAATTATACACAAGAAACTAAAATTAAAAATAATACAAGACTAACAAAGGCCAGAGGCTCCTGACTTGGGAGCTTTCATTTATTATTATTTTATCACTAATGTCCTCTTTATTTTTAGTTCTGACATGACAATATGGCATCTGCGTACCAGGAACAGTGTTGTAGTATATGTGAACTTCAGCATATAACAAATAGAGCAGACGAATGGTGCCCTGAGTGTGACGAGTATCTATGTTCAAGTTGTAAAACTCATCATAAACTAGCAAAAGCCAGCAGGAGACACAAAGCCGTTGAAATATTAGATTTGAAAGAATTGCCTGCGCTTGTTTCTGTGATAAAGCTCGAATGCGAAACACACCATGAAAACTGCGAGTACTTTTGTCCTAAACATGAGATACCTATTTGTGTCATATGTGCCAGAGAACATACAAGTTGTGGAACTTTCACTATATTGCGCAAATTAGAAGGCATGAAAACATCACCAAGTATGATAAAGCTTGAGCAAAATGTCAAAGATATACAGCAAAATTTAGAGATATTTTTACAAAATCGCCGGTCAAACCTTTCGAATCTTAAAGGTCAGCATGAGAGTTGCATACAAAAAGTTAGAGAAATGAGACTTGAAATCAACCAGCATCTTGACAAACTGGAGAAGATAGTAATTGACGAAATAGACACTTCATACACAGAACAAAAACTACAAGTGGAACAAACCGTCGACGATTTGAGCGGACGCGAAACAAAAATGAATACAATCCAAAACAATATTAAGAAACTTAAAGACCATGCATCTGAAATCCAAATTTTTCTTAGCATTCAAAGTATCAAAAAAGATGTAAAAGAGGAAGAAAGCCAATTAGTTATTATATGTAAGGAAGAATTACACGAGAGAGAGCTTTCATTCCATCCAGCACTAAGTTGCAAGTCTGGCATCATTCTCAAATCGTTTGGAGATTTGAAAACAAATACCAAACCGGCTAATATAAGCTTTGTCAGGCAAGAAGATTCAGAAGCTCAACTTGTGATGACAGGGGCAAACAAAAAGCACATTGATCAAATTTCCTTTACGAAAAAACTTGACTTTAAACTTCCAACTAACCTAGGAGAAGTAAAAGTTGCAGGTTGTTGTAATAATGAGAAAGGGTTATTTCTTCTAGCTGATCAAAGTAAAAAACCTCGCATTATAGTGTTAGAGCCAAATGGCACATTAGTATGTGAAATTCCTTTACAACAACAACCAAATAATGTTGTTTATGTCAGCAAGACCATATTTGTATCAAGTTATCTTTCTAGGACATTGACAAGTATAGATTTTGAAACAAGGCAGGTGAAAAAGACAATTCAATTTGGCTATGAATGTGAAGCGTTAGCAGTTGTTGGGGATAAGATCTTACTGCATCTTATCGACAAAGAGTACACACTCTATGATCTAAATCTTGTCGAAGTTGCGAAAATACCTATTCGTATTAGAAATGCCCCTTATCTTTCTTACTTTGATGAGAAAATATATATCGCTCAGTGGAAGGAAAATGTGGTGTACTGCTACACCATGACAGGAAAAATGATTTGGAAATATCAACACGCAGACATTCGTGGACCTGAAGGAATTACAATAGACAACTATGGAAATTTATTTGTTTGTGGTTTTTATTCTAAAAACATTTCAGTTATATCACCGAATGGCGAACATAGCAGAAACCTTTTAAACTTAACTGGTGTTTTGTCCAATCCTTCAGCAATTCATTACAACCATGTTTTAAAGCAACTGATAATTCCTTCTAAAGGGTGCATTAAAATATTAGTGTACGGTGTATCATAAATTAAATCTTTTTTCAACAAATCGGGTTCTGAATTTGTTCTTTGTGTAAGAGTGTGTGTGTGAGTGGGTTGTTTGTGATTTTTTTTTTCACGGGACAAACTTTTTTCGCAACCTTAATAAAAAAAAAGTTTTTAAACTTTATGTTTGCTGCTTCAAAACATACAGTTGGGAATGCTAGTAAGTTTTTCAAAAAACCTTTCTTAATCTACGGATTGGATTTCAATAAAACCTACATAACATTCTGTGCCTTATATTTGTTATTAAAATGAAATTTGAGTTTAACATCGTGAAAAATGGCGTTTGATTTCAGCTTATCTGCATTTATACATTAGGTTACTTAAATTTTTCTTCCATTACATTTTTGAAAAGTATGTATCAATTTTTCTTTGTTCAACTACTACATCTTTCAAGTTAGATCCCTGACACTTCACAAAAAGATTGCAGACATATTGAAACTGTTGACCTGCTATTTTGGTATTGTTTCATAAAAATTTACTATTTTTTCTGACTTTGGATCTTAGATTTCTTTTTAGCGAATTTACAAAAGACGGTACCAAGATTATGAGAAATGAACTCCTCCTGCAGTAGACAACTCAAATCCTTGAAACTTTACAAAAATAAATTAAAAAAAAGAATGTACATCACAATGTAGCTTTGTACCTTCTATTACGGATTAGAGTACAGACTATAATCCCATTTCTAAATTATCATATCCAAGGTTATAGTTATCGTTTTGACATTGTTTTACATATTGTATTTATATTGTGTCATAGATCAAATTTATTCGTTCACTGTATGTTTACTTGTTTTGTTAATATTTTTTTTTGATCGAATTAAGCCATTTCAATTGATATTTTATAATGTGACTTTCTATGTTGTAATATTATGCTATTGTTTCAGGTTAGGGTGAAGGTTGGCGCCTGTTAAATTTTTTAAACCCGCTGCATTTGTTTGCACTTGTCCTAAGTCAGGAACCTGTTATTCAGTGGTTGTCGTTTGTTGATGTGGTTCATAAGTGTTTCTCGTTTCTCGGGACGATTTCAACTTCCCAATTATCAATTTCCCATTTCTCAGCAGTAACATACCCTCTGCCCCTTCGTATGGTGTTTACATATCTCATTTGATACGTTGTGCTCGTGCATGTTCACACTATACGGACTTCATATACAGGAGTGTGCTCCTAACGCAGAAACTGCTCCAACAAAGTTATGAGGAGGACAGATTAAAAATGACACTCCGTACATTTTACGGACACCATCACGAATTGGTCGATCCATACGATGTGTCTTTGTCCAAACTAACTAAGGACATTTTTACCACGTGTTAGATTGTGGTTTGACATTACGTCGTCTGATCTTTTAATTACCGAACGTGACTTATTCCCGATTGTGACTGTTTTGCTGAGTGTGAATTCGCATTGCTATAAGACGTGTTACGGTAACTTTCTATCCAAAATTCATGTATTTAGTTTTGATGTTCTATTTGTTATTCTCATCGGATTTTGTCAAATGTCTTATCGTTTGTAGTTGTAAATCTTATTTTTTTCTGTTGTATTCGTGTGTTATGGTAAAGATTATTAATCACCCTGTTCGTTAATTAGATTTTAGTTTGGGTCAACTAAATTTATACGATATATTTGGTTTACAGTTTGATTTAGAAGAAACACCGACATAGCTAGATAATACTATAAATTATCTTATTACTGCCACATTTTATATTAATTAGTATTGTAATTTTCATTGTTATTGATAAATGTTATATGAGTATTATAAACCAAATCTTGAACTCTATCCTAATTCTATCCTATTTTGGGGAAATTTCAGAAATTCAAATGTGACGTCACCCTTTTTTTAGCGTTGATCTCTTTGGCTAACTCGGCTGTGAATTTTTATGTGCTGGTTTATGTTGTTTTATGTATCCGTTTTTATTCTGCAGTTAGTCACCACTTCGGTGTTATCATATATATCTATTATATAGTCATTTTTATAAATTTACTGTTTACAAAAGTATGAATTATTCTAAATACTAAGGATTTTCTTATCCCAGACATATAACCTTAGCCATATTTGGCACAACTTTTTGAAACTTTTGGTCCTCAATGCTCTTCAACATTGTACTTGTTTTGGCTTTCGTACTTTTTTTTATCTGAGCGTCACTGGTTAGTCTTGTGTGGACGAAACCCGCGTCTTGCGTATTAAATTTTAAACCTGGTACCTTTTGTTAGCTATTATTCGTATGTTTCTCTGTCCTATATGTTCTCCCATTTATTTGTATTGTAGTCCTGTCATGTAATGTTGTCATTTTAATGTTATATTTAACATTGCCTTAAAAGCGGGAGGTTTGGCTAGCCACAAAACCAGGTTCAACCCACCATTTTTTTTTCTTAAAATGTCCTGTACCAAGTCAGGAAAATGGCCATTGTTTTATTATAGTTCGTTTCTGTGTGTGTTACATTTTAATGTTGTGTTTCTGTTGTGTCGTAGTTCTCCTCTTATATTTGATGTGTTTCCCTCAGTTTTAGTTTGTAACCCGGATTTGTTTTTTTCTCAATCGATTTATGAATTTCGAACAGCGGTATACTACTGTTGCCTTTATTTATCGTTTTTTTATATAGATTACACCGTTGGTTTTCCTGTTTGAATTGGTTTACACTAGTCATTTATTGGGCCCTTTATAGCTTGCTGTTCGGTGTGAGCCAAGGCTCCGTGTTGAAGGCCGTACTTTGACCTATAATGGTTTACTTTTTACAAATTGTGACTTGGATGGAGAGTTGTTTCATTGACACTCATACCACATTTTCTTATATCTATGTACAGTCTGGTCATTTTAGTCTTCTTCCAAGTTTTGAATAACGTATTATATTTTAATGTTTTACTTTCCCTTACATTTTTGTTGTTTACTTACTGGTACTGTTCATGTAGGGTTAAGTGTTTTTTTTCCTTCAGAACTGATTCTTATAAACTGTCTTCTATATACTTTTTGTTATTACACTGATCGAGTTTAAAAGGGGAAGAATTAAGATTACTAAAACTAGTTTAAATTTATTATGCTTGTTTGTCTATCCCAAGTGACGAACCGACTTCGTGGTTGTCGTAAGTATCATGAATATTAAAAAGTGTTTGTCCATTAAAGACATTAATTTTGAACGTATATATTTGATAGTCACACACAAATTTGAGCACAATACTTCTTGACTCGAGTTTGAAATATATGGTATAGGCACTTGTCTAATGATGGAAACTTAATGTATATTGACCTCTACAAATATTTTGGTTATTGTACTGTTTGGTTAATGTCTAATTGACCCCTCCTCACCTCATGCTTATTTTATATTTGCAACAAAAAGTAATGGACATTAAGAACATATAAGGCATGCATATTTCTGTACCATACATATGAAAGTACCAACTTATTGATTTAAACACTCAAACTAATGCAATCTCAAAACCTATATATACCTATATATACAGCAAGACCTACGACCTTCAAGACTATCTATATAATTTTACAGAAATAGCAGTTTGGTGTATGTGAACTGCAACACAAATAAATTCAATCTAGAAATTTCGCAGGGGATTTATTTGTCAAAATGTTTGTATTATAAACTAAATCTAACAACTTTCTTAGACATGTTAAAATGTATATTGTCCTTTGAATATGAAAAACAAGGATAATTGCTACGATAATTTCTACGATAGATAGTTAGGGGGTGGGGTCTTGTGTCATGTCTTTTCGCCTTCCGTCCGTGCCGTACCAGGCCACAGTTTAGGTTAAAAGTAGTTTTCCATAAATGTGTTCTTACGTGAACTTAAAAAATATTACACATTTTAAATAATGATGTGAACTTTTGAAAATGTATTCCAAATTAGGATTTTACCCATATGTCACAGTTAAATGAACATAGAAATGTATAAGTGCGATCGAAACAATGATGTCCGATTGAGACATTCAGAGCTACACAATATCCAGAAACTAGCATTAAACTTTGAATCAAAAGTTGTGCAATACGTAAATTTAATTTAAAAAGTAAAATAGCTAAAATACCGAACTCCGAGGAAAATTCAAAACGGAAAGTCCCTAATCAAATGGCAAAATGTAAAGCTCAAACACATCAAACGAATGGATAACAACTGTCATATTCCTGACTGGGTACAGGCATTTTCTTATGTAGAAGATGGTGGATTAAACCTGGTTTTATAGCTAACTAAACCTCTTACTTGTATGACAGTCACATAAAATTCCATTATATTGACAACGATGTGTGAACAAAACAAACGGACATAACAGGTAAAAATGTCAAAGATAGGGGTACAGCAGTCAACATTGTGTTATAATCTCAATCACTATTAAAACAGACAAAGATGTAACAAAGAAACACAAAAAGGCATATAGACAAAGCACATTAGCAAAAATGAAAGACAAGAATACAAAAATTTACCATAGCACAAAAACACAATGATATGATGTATAAGTACCGAGCCACGTCAAATGGATATTACCAAAAATAGACTAAACAGTAAAAGTAATATTCCCAAAGACAAATAAACGAATACTATAACACGTTATTAAGATGATAAACAACGTCAGTACCCAGAATCTATACTTCAAGACCATCGTGTATTATTTGTGAAGTTGATACGGAATATTTATCAACAAGGCCTTGATACCTTCCGATGATTTTTTTAGAAAAAGGACGAGACGTTCTTTGGCATACCCCTGGTTCATCAACTTTCTGCTCAGACACTGTTGACGTTTTGCAAAGTCTTAGTAGCAGCTGCAAGCTCTTGAATACCGAATAAGTTGGGAAATGTATATCCCATATGCAGGTGAAGATGGTATATTGCTATTAAGGTGGGGGAAATTGATAGTTTCAAAATTAAAATCGTCTCGCTTGTCATAGATTCTGGTACTGAGATGACAGCGTATGTCAAATTCGAGGCATAAGTCTAAAAATGAGGCGGAGAAAGCCGTGTCTGTTGTTTCTTTACTTTCTAGTTCCGGGGGATGTATTAATGGAACCCAATCAGAAAAGTTTGGATTGTTAATGGAAAGAACATCATCAATATATCTGAATTTGAAATTAAATGATCTGGCTTCTTCGATCTTCTTGTTTTTGACAAAGACCTTTAACTTGCTAGCATTAGGATAACAGCTGTAATCGATATGAAATTTCAATCTCAAGGTACACGATTTGCAGATCAGTCATTCATTCTTAAAACTACAAATTGAAAAAAAATATCAA